TCAATAGTGCTCGCCCAACTCCTCCGCAGCACAAGAGGAAAGTGTTGTTTGTGCTCCTACCCCTCCTCTTTTTCGTCTTCTTCTTCTTCTGCTGCTCCATTGAGGTAATTAGAGAAGTCGCAACTTGTTTGCTTTGGAAGCGCGTACGCCGAAATTAGTTTGTGTCCCAAACCGGGCAGACTTTGTATCTAATTTTTTTCTTCTCTCTCCCTCTTTCTCTCTCTCTCTCTCTCACTCTCTTCTCTCTTTTGGGTGCTATTTAAAGTCGCTTTCGATTTGGCCATTTGGAAGTGTTCCAAATGTCGTGACTATTTCACTCAGAAATGTGCTAGCAAAAAGAGCTGAAAAAGTAGGAAATGTGCGCGTTCCAATTTATAGTATGTGTGACATGTTGGAAGTGTTGCATAGTTGTTGTTGCTGTTGTTGTGGAGGCAACGTTCATTGACTTTGTGCTAAAGAAATTTTCATTTTTGGCCAAAATATTTGGCAGGTGAGAATTGAACTTTTATGAGCTAAATGTGAAGCTTTCTAGAGCTGTGATTTATTAGAACTTGGTGTGAATCAGATATATGTATGTGTATATTTATACATATGAACACATATCAGCAACTCAACTGAGGAGGGGCGTAGGCTGTGCCCAGTGTCTAAGGGGGGCCATAAATATTTCGAAAACGCGGTCGAGGTCACGTACTGACATTTTCGATCATGAATCCAATGTTGTTGTAGCTAGTTAATTGTTGTTGTTGTTGCTGTTGTTGTTGTTGGTATTCTTGGTTATTGCTCAACACTCTACGAAAAAATTTCATGAGTCAACGAACCTCGATCGAGAGACACAGCCGCACAGCCAGAGCAGAGTGCCCAGTCTTCAGCTTTATAAATAGCAAAACGCATTAGAAGATCTTTGCGCGAATGTGCGTCATGCGAGCCGACAACAATTGGAGGACAGCCACAGCCTATGTCTGTGTTGCAACTAGCCTAAAGAAGAGGAAGCACAACTAGAAGACGAAGAAGAAGCAGAAGGAGAAGCGTGCCCACTGTGCATGGAATTTATGTGGCCAACAAGAGTCCAATTAGCATTTAGCTGGGCAAACTGTAGTCGAAAGTCATATTTCAACTGGCGCCAGCTGGGAAAAATTGCTCGAGTTTATGCTTAATGCATGCACACAAATCATAAGCGAGCCGAGAGGGAATCATAAAGAATTATGTAAATTATGTAAAAGTTATTGGAAAATATAAAAACCAAAGGCTGAAAACGTGATTGCAGTGGGAAATCGAGCAGAGAATGGGAACGAAATGAGCCGTTGACAGCTCGAATGGAGAAGCTGAGTGGAGGGGCTTATGATGAAAATATTATGAAATGGATGATTGAATATGAGCAAGTATATGGAGTATAGAGAAGTGTCTTTTAATGAGGGATATGTGACTTGAAAAAATATAAAAACATATTTAATTTCCTATAATATTTACTACATAGATGATCTATAGACAATTCTTTGTCTGATTTCTGCTAAGCACATTACAATTACCTATAACAATTGATAAATAAACACTTGGAAGCGATTTATAAATATCTGATCTGAAATTGTTTATAAGTTCCGAAAGCATTCGCCCAGTGAGCAGCAGCCTCTACGCAGACCTTGAAACTGCTGTGGAACAATAGAACAATAGACACATTACTTGTATACTTTTTAGTAGTGAGATGAGCATATTGGTTTTGTGTAATATCCGTTTGGCTGTATGGGTATGTACATCCGCCTATTCGACCTTCTATTCTTCCATTTTGTCGCTATTGCAGCTATAGACTTAAAATGTGAAGGATTTACTCGTATTCCCTAGTTGATAAGTCTAGGGATAGTTGAATGTCCTCACGGATTGGAGCATTCTGCAGTCAGTCATACAAATATAGTTAGCAACACTTTAGCATATACTGCCTTACCTATTCTGTGTTCTCAATTCAGTATCCCACCCACTGTGCATTCACTTTTCTTTAGCCGATAAATTCTCCCTGTCTCTCTCTCTCTCGCTCTGCCTTCGTCTTGCAACATGTTGCCAACTGGGCGCCTGCTGCATGGCTGCTGTAACTGCCGACTGCCGACGGCCGCCTGCTGCCTGCTGGCTGAGTGCATCAAAGTCTCAATTGCAATCACAACACTGGGGAGAAGGTAACATCTCAAGTTCAGCCGCCGATTAGTCACGAACTTTTTGCATAAAGTTCTGGCTCATATTTATTTTATTATAATTCAAAGTTCTGAAACTGGAGTCGAGTTCGGGCTGGAGTTGGTGTTGGTGTTGGAGTTGGAGTTCGACTTCGACGTTCTCAGGTGGGTGGGTGGCGTGTGCAAAATACATTAAGAGGCTCGCCAAATTGCCAAGACCCAGAGTCGTGCAAAGATTGGGGAGTGGAGCCATAAGCCTACAGCCTCCAACTCGACTTCGACTCCGACTCTGAATCTTGGCTGAGTTTAAACAAAGAGAAAGGCGTTGCTTTATGGCCAAGCAATTGTTTGGCTTAGCTTGTGTCTTGTTGTTGCTGTTGCTGTTGTTGTTATTGTTTTCTTTGTAGCTCTCGCTCTTCGGCTCGTAATGAGCCGCAACTATCGCAAATAGGCAGCCGCTTGACTGCCACACCCACACCGCCTCCACACACCTGCCCAGGTCAGAGACGCTTCTTACGGCTGTGGCTCCTCTGCCAAGAACTTGAAACAACTTCATGACTCGCGCGACTTGCCTCTCAGCTAATGGCTATGAATTGGGCTCTGCACTCGGCTTGAGTTTTGAATTTGTGCAAACAGCCAAGCCTCTGAAAACAGAAAGACCGAAACACGTCCCCCGCGGGCACCTCTCGACGTAGCACACAAATTCTTTGTCGAGCCACATAATTATATACAATGATAAAGGCAAAACAGCGAAAATATCATAATATTATTATAATGCACACAATTTCAGACTCAAGTTGCTGTAATGATTCAGAAAATTATCTAGCGGAAAATTCCTATAAAACAGAATTCGATTTGCGCTCGTTTAGATATTTGTGCAGCCCAAGGAAAAGCCATTGAAGTGGAAGAAGTTGAAGCTGAGCGTGGGTGGAGTTTAATATAAGTCTATAATGTGAAAGGAAGTTTAGATAAGAACTATTTGCATGTGATTGGAGTAGATAAAACATGTATTTGATATAATTAGAAAAACTTTGATATATTGAGACTAGCATTTGTATTGGATATACATTTATAAGGTATTACAGAAAGTGAATATACCATGTCATGCTACTTATAACAGTTCTGTTAAGCAGATTTCGAGAACTCTCTATAATTGCAGGCACAGTAAAAGTGAAAACTTCCCCAGTTCGATTGTGGAAGTTGAGTTTCGCGTTAGGTTTGTGCAACTCCTCAGTGCTGAAACTTTGACCAAGTCGCAGCTTGTCCAAGCAGCTGCTGCTGCAAAGCTTTTTTTTATTTCTTTAATCAAATGTCAAAATGTCGATGATAATCATGTGCATAAGATTTGCACGAGCTGCATAGAGACGCAGACAGGAAGCAAGAGGAGAGAGAGAGAGAGACAGAGAGGCGTTCGCATATGCAAATCGATAAACGAACGCCTTTTTATGACATTTCAATTTGCATTCAGCGAGGGGGGAACAAAGAGAGAGAGAGAGAGAGAGAGAGTGAAGTCGAGTCCATTAAAAAAGAAGGTACAAATGAGCAGCCCAACAGGTGAAAATGGTAAATTTATGAGTTGAGTTGGTGAAATGCACAGGATGCAAACAGTTGCTGCCATAAGTGTGTCTACCAGGTGGGTTTTACTCGGCCGCTTCATCATATTTATCGATTTCTAATGCTTAAGCTGACAGCTATTGTTGCTGTTGTAGTTGTTGCCGTTGCTGTTTACTTAGCCAACAGACAACATGATGCAAGAGTTCGCTGGGGTTAAACTGTTGTATGAAGATCAATGTACGATAACCGCACAGCGCGGCAATTGCCATTGCGAATGCGAATGCTGCTCATGTGTGCGGCTAGGTGGGTGTCATTGTGCGGCATTTGGCGCTGCCACGCCCACAGCCGGCTTGGCTTCAACTCTGACCTGCTGCGTGTCAATTACATTTGTAATTATTTTTTCTATTTCTGTTTACCATTTTGTTCCCCCTTTTGATAAATTGAATATCGCACGCTTGTCTCTGGCTGAGGCGGCGGCTGTGGATGCGGAAAGCCTTTTTAGCCAATACCATTTATCGATTAATCTTCGACAACACAATGGACGGATGCATCATCATGGGCTTATGCAATGTGTGGGATTTGACCTTTGTCTCGATTGGCTCTGGGTTTGCGCTCGAGTCGTCTGCCGAAAAAAATGACAAATGAGTGATGAAAATCTAAGACAACAGCCAATTGCTGCACATGAACGGAAATGCAGCAGAGGCTGGTGTTCAGGTAGGGGCGGGGACAGAGGCAGAAGAGTTTATTATGAGTGAAGTTGCATGCACTGCACGAAAAAGTTGAGCAGATGTCAGAGGATTCTAGACAAATTGAGGTGTTGTTAGAGGAAGACAGGCAAACTGAGACTAAGACTAAGGCTTTCTTTGAGCTCTACTGCTATACAGTGAGACTTGACTATATAGTACATCTATAGGAACAGGAGATGCTATTACTTTGTGCGTATATCGGGATTTATAGGTAATAGAGGGGAAGTGAAGTAAGTCTTTAAATTCTTAGCTATAGAAAGCTTCAATTTCGATCATGACATGGGCAGCTTCTGCTTTGTTCGAATGTAAAAGCCAAAAGCCCACGCGCTGTGGCGGGCCAACATCTTTATTGGCAATTGGTATGGGCAGTTATTGGCGGCTTGGCTTGGCTTGGCTTGAAATCACGTGGCCAAAGCGCGCGCCATATTAAGCATACGTCATGTGTGCTCGCTTTCCAATTGGCTTGACAGCCATTCGCACTCGACACCTTTCGCATTCAATTTAATTTTCATTTCTCTGCTTCGTTTCGTTTGTCTATTTCCAGGTGTTGTACCATGAAATCGTATCACACGCTCGAGTTGTAAGCGCTTGCATACGTGCCGCCTCCGAAAGGGAACGGGAACAATCCCAGTTGCAGTCGCAGTCGCAGTCGCAGCAGCCTGCTTCCTTAACCAGCAACTGCTCCAGCGAATCGACCAGCGACTCGGCCACCAAATCGCACAGTCTCAGCAGCGGCTTCGCCTCTGATGCAGCCCCATTGACCACGCCCAGCGTTGGAGTTGCGACTGGCTCTGGACTTGTCGCAGCTGGCGGCAGCAGCAACAGCAACAGCAACAGCAGCAACAACAACACAGCCCATCCAAGAAAGGGTGAAGGCAATTTGGAACGATTGCGCGATCGCTATCACCTGATCTACTTGAAGGCCTTCGAGCTACAGCTGTGCCTGGATAATTTACTGCGCAAACGCAGCTCGACCGCGGTAAGTCTTAAAGAAAACTTTACGCTATATATAGTCTGGGCACAGTTATGGAAATGTGAATAGAACCAGGGGTGCAACACGAATGGAACAGGAAATGCATCTAAAAGCTGGGAGAAGTTGTTAATTGATCCAAACCACTTTCACTCTTATAATATGAGTTTGGCAACATTACCCTTGAGTCTCCCAAGTTCACCTAGCGACTCGTTGCAAAAATAAATCTCACACAAGATGATATTAGCTTCGTTTTACCTTAAAGAAATTCGCTTTGGATTAGCGCAAAGTTTTCGCCTTTCCGTTTTCTATTTGTAAAACAGCGAAAAGCAGAGGCATACGTTGAATTCTTGGAAAATAGAAACGCAACCGCATCAGCGGATGGATGCCTCCTCATTTGAGGCATTGTGAGTTGGCATTGGCGCCTGCTTTCCTTTGGCTGCGGCTGCCTTTTGTGTGTCCGCCTCTTGCGGACAGTTGCCAATTGTGGACATTTCTAATTACAAAAGTGTCTCTGCTCGCTGATTTAATTAATTCATTTGGTGAAAATGCCGGCAATGCGAGCTCTACAAATGCCTCGAACGCTATCCACTTGGCCAACGGCAGCAGCGGCGCTGCCCCAAGCACCCAATGCATTGGCAGAAGTCGCTTCGAATCTATAGAAACATTAAAATCTCTGCGAGAAGTACAATTTCTCCAGGCACAAATACTTTCGTGATTGTGGGCAATTAAATGTTCTCGTAATGTGCGCAGTGGCAAGGCAAAGCTGTTAAAACTATCGATTAACCATTATCGATAAACTGCTTAACAATTCGGCACACAGAATAGAATGAGGGCGCCGTAAATGGGGCTGCGTGTACTAGAAATCGAGTGCAGCTAATGGAGTGCAGCAATTAAGGCTATCGATTAGCTATTATCGATAACATATAAGCATTAAGCTATTTGTTCAAGAGAGACTCTAAGTGTGCTAGGTTAAACACTAAAATGAAGCAGTTAGAAATATAAATATCAGACTATCGCTAACAACTATCGATAAATTAAAATTGACATGCATATATATAACTTATATAGTGAACATAAAACGTCTTCTTCCTTTTAGATTTATCGGTTTATAGAAGAGATCAATAAAGCTCACCCACTTTCTGAGCTAGACTTTCGCATAACGTGTTCCTTTCTAGCCTTTCCAACATAATTTCTCAATTCTCTTTGGCCCACACACGCTATTCCACTCCCTCACCCGCTCGCTCTGTCTCGCTCTGTGGCTTCATTCATCCCACTCACTTGACAGCTGGCTAGTGAAAGTCTTTGCCTATAATCACATTGACCCAGTTTTGAGAGCACTGGAGGAGCTGCGGCAACTCCTCCTCCGGCTGCAGCTCGTGCTCTGATTTGTGCCAGTTTAAACGTTTCCTGGCCAAAGTTCTGAGCCACCCCAAGCGGCCGGCTACCGCAATATATAATTGCAAAGCCGGTAACAACATTTTAATTGTGTATAATTTAAGAGTGTGTCTGCCGAGCGCTGCTAGACTCGTGCCGTGCTCTGGGATGTCGTAATTCATGCAAGGCACGCACTGACCCACACGCTGCGGCTGCCCTCTGTGGAGGCAGCAGTAGGAACAGCAGCTGCTGCAGTTGGCTGTCGGGCCTGCGGCTCTGGAGCATTTCATGTGGGGACTGCTTCATTTGTGGCCAAGTTTCTCCTGCACATTTCGTTGCGCTCGCTGATGCAACAATTTGCATTCGCTTGTGCCCCCAAGCTGCAAAGCACGCCCCCTCCTGCCAGTGCCGCCCCCTCAGTGCTGGCATGACCGATGCAATGAACACGTTGCTGCCATATAATTTGCAACACTTTTCTAGCCGCTTGGCCATGTGCTCCATTTATGCCTATATACACGTATAGCTATGTATATATGTAGCCTGGCAACATGTTGCCAGCAACATGTGCTGCCATACAGTGTCACGCAGTGGTGAAATATGCCTCATATAAAAGCTAAATTAAGCGCGCGGCAAGTAAAAGTGAAATTTATGCGACCCATTGCAACAAACTTGGCCCAGAGGTCGTCAAGCACACGGGCAGACTTTGAACTTGCCACCAGCCGTGGCAGCAGCAGCAGCAGCAGCATCTGTGGAAAGCGGCCATAAATGAGGGCAAGACAATGCAAGGGAGGAAGATGAAGCAGCAGCAGCAACAGAAAAAGAAAGAAAAAACAAATGAAAATAAACCAAATCAAATTTACGACGTGCCCAGCGAGACGATCGCGACTTCTCATAAAAATCCATTTTATTTCAGCTGGCCTTTAGTCTCTCACTCCCTCACACACTCTCTCTCTCTCACGTACACATGAATTGCTTTGTGCGCTTCAGCACATTCGATAAACAAATGCAGTTTGCAATCGAATTACATTGATTACACTTGATTATTATATTTGAGTGTGCTGCGATCGCCGTGTCGAGCTCTTGTTTATTCTGGGCCAGAAATTATAGGGTATTATATGTGATGTTGTTATTATACAGATCTGGCGAAGCAGGAGGCCAATGCACTTTATGATTGATGTAACGAAGGCCAAATACCAAGCGAAAGTGATGAAAGACGTCCGATTCCCATCTGGCCACATTTGCTGTTGTTGTTCATGCTAAACTTGCTGTTAAAGTAAACATGCCTTTGTCAAGCCAGAGATGGGAGAGAGATGAGCAGGAAATTCCTTACCTTTGTTAATATGAGGAGATTTGATCAGGAGGAAAAGACTTCCTTCAACTGTACTTCAGCTCTTATAAAATAGTCTATAAAAGCCTTAACAACTAAATTCATTTAGTCAACCTTGAGGCAGTTTTTCTCTCTCTTGCATTGCCAGTCTATCGTTTATCGTTTATCGTTTATCAAGACTTCGCGAGCGAAGCTAATTGGATTTCCAATCATGAACGAATCGAACAATCGAACAGCCAATTAACGTCGATCAATATAATGTTAACGATTTATGAATTTAATTGCCGCTCGTCAAATATTTAAATGCTGCGGCACATCAATCACACTCTGCCCCAGAGCATTAATCAAGCGAAATTCGAGCTATGCCAAAAACACACAAAAGACGGTAGCGCATGCCCGGAAAGAAAAGAGCCCAAAAGACCCAAAAATAAAAGTTCGAATGCAAATTAATAACTGCCAAAACTATTTCGCTGTGATACCCATTAAACGGTTGATTGAAGAGCATGATAGACTCTATATTTCTTATAACAGATAGAAAGTGGGCAATCTACAGACATTTATTTGATATATATAGTATAGTCTATTATATAATCTATAGGAAAATTTGTACGAATATTTGCATAACATCTCCTAGACTATTTTTCATTCATATGTCATCGATGAATATTAACTGGAGATTGCACTGTCTCATATGAAAGTTCAGTCTTAAGGCATTAGGCCTAGTTTCGATATCGAAATATATATCATTTGCTTATGCAAACATATTTGCGTTCTAGTCTTATCGCTGCCCAACAGGCTAGTCTGTCAGCTGACTCTAGGTCGCATTTGCTTGTCGTTTTTTAAGCCTTTCATAAATCGAACTGCAATGCGAGGCATGAAAATGAACGAATGCGCTTTGAATAATAATTGACGGGCGAACATATGTCTGACTGGCTAACTGGGCTGTTGTTGTTGTTGTTGTTGCTGCTGTTGTTGTTGTATGCCACACGAATCGGAACTGCATTTGCATGTTGAACAACGACAGTTACAAATTGTGCCTATTTATGTTGCGTGTGTATGCAATATACATATTTGCATGTGTGTGTGTGTGTGTGTGTGTGTGTGTGTGTCTTTTGCTTCCCCGGAAAACGCGAAAATTAAATCACAATAATTATGTAAATTTCTTGCAACAACCTGTAAACGGGGCGTGCCACCCACAATAGCAACGCGGAAGCAGTTGCCACTGCTGTTGCTGCCTGCCGTTGCATGCCACAAAACGCTAAACAATGAACCGATATACATTTACTTGCAATTATATATATATACGTCTATTTACATGTAATGCAAAACTATGCTCAGGTTTCACTTTTTTTTGTGTTTTTGGAGGCGCGCGTTGCAAGGCCGTTAAACGGCAGCTGGCCCGAAAGGTAATTACCGCCTCTCGGTCTCACTTTCGTTTTGGGGGCCTGGGCACAGTAATTAGCCGCTAGCCAGCAGCAGTAGCAGCGGCACTGGCAGTGGCAGCAGCGACCACAACAACACTTAGCCAAATGCTGCTTGTAATTGGAAGCTTGGCCGAAAAACAAAAAAACACTCGTCGTGCGGTTAGCAGGCAAATTGGGTGGGTTTTTGTGAGAAATTGTTTTATAATGTGGCCACATCCCCAGCGCCAGCAACCACCACTGGCTGAGTGGCTGACGGCTGCCTGGCTGCCTCTCTGACCGTTAGCTGATCCACTTTTAGTGGCAGCTAATGATGCAGCTTGCAACTGAGCTGGCCGAGGCCTAGCCTGGCCTGGGTTGCCTTTTGGCTCTCCATTTCAATTACGCGCACAAATGTGTGCCCCAATCTGCCATTTATTGTTCATTACGCTCTCTACATTGGCCAACTTTGGTGCCGAATCAGATATTAGCTAATGGAACGAAATCGAAGTGGAAAATATGGCATGCGAGGCCCGTGATGAAATTCAGATTGGAAATTTGCAACTTTGAAAACGAAATGTGATATGTATGTGAGATATGAGAGAACTATGAATACAGAGAGATGGGTGGAATCAGAGAAAGATGTACTTAGATGATGTGTGAAGGGGGCAGAAGAGAGCATCAGTAGATGCTGTAGTGGATTCTCTCTATGTAGTACTCTATGGCAAAGATAGATTCATATTAATAATCTATCTATGCCACAGTCTATATCAATCTAAGCTTCACTTTATATTTAAATTTTATTTAGTCAAGTCAAGTAAATATCAATTAATAGATAACTTCCTCTATATGCATATAAATATACATATTTGTAGCACTTCAGGCAACAAATTCATAATATGCGC